ACATGAAAATGCTTTCCACTTTTTTTAAAGAAAATTTAGAACCCCAAACTCATAATCTTAGCTCCGCCTCTGAGTATATATAATCATAAAAAAATTATTTAGAATTAAAAGGAATACAACGGTAAGTAAATTAATTAAAATCAATCACTCCTTCTATTTCAACATACTTATCATATTTTTTAAAAATCAAACTGCATAAATTTTAGTAAATATTTTTAAATATATTACCATATTAATATTTTAAAAAATTATTTATAGTAATTTATTTTTTTAGTTTTAAAATATTTAAATTTATTTTTAAAATATTAATTTACTTTAACCCTAAAAAATTAATTAATTTCTCTCAAAATATACAACGTGACAACTATTCGAAATATATGAAATAATACTCAGAATTTATATATCAGTATCTAGATGACGCAAGGAGTGACACAAGAATAAACCTAGTATTTTATTCAATGATTTAATAAATTTATAACTATTGGTATATTGAAGGTATAATGAAAAAGAAACAGTGTAAAGATAGTCCACCTTCAACGCATGCTAACTTAAAAGGGGATTTAATAGGGACCCAAACAAACTTGCTAATATATCCATGGAATATTCTTCATTATTTTATTTTATTTGGTTTCTGAAGTTCATATTGAAACTTTGATTAAATTTGAATCACGCACTGTAGGATCCATTTGAGGGTGACACTTGTAACAAGATTTTTTTATATACAGAAATCAAACTTGAGACCTCAGATTAAGGGTGAAACAGTCTCACCATTGCACCACATGCCATATTGGTATTCTTCATTATCTTTATTCTTCTCTACTTGATGTCCAATCTCAAGGATAGCTTTTTTCTTCTTTTTTTTGATAGTATCTAATCAATTATTTAAATAGTCAAGTGAGTTTTTGTATGATGGTAAAATAATTTTTTAATCAAATTAGATTCGCCTTATTTGTTTTTATTAAGGTTGAGAAAATTTGAACGTATATTTGAATGATGACTATACTGTTGTTTTTAATTTAAATAGTAAGTGATTAAAATTATTTAGTTTCCAGAATGCGGAATTTATTTATTACTTTCTCTTTTCCTAATTATTTGTCCATATTTTCTTTTATAGTTATCCCTAATTACTTGTCCATTTTGACAAATCAAGAAAGGTCAATTTTTTTTTACCTATTATACGCTCAAGTTTTTAGTTCATCCACTTCATAATTAATAGGGATAAAATGGTAAACTTACTATATCAATTATTGATTTCTTAATAGGTGTGTCAATTCAAAAGTGGACAAGTAATTAGGGACAAAGGGAGTAATAGACATAACAAAGTATAAGTTTAAATATATAAATAATTAAGTATTAGAAATAATATAAATTTAATAAAATAAAATAAAATAAATATTTTATATTTTTTTAAAAAATATTTATGTTTGTTAGTGATGACAAATATGATCTGATAGATGATGGTCGGTATTAGTGATTAGTAATGATGAAGATAGTTAGTATTGCAGTGACTGGTGTGATAGTAATGCTTGATAGTGATAGTGGCGATCGTAACAATGAAGTTAATTGATGTTAGTAGTTAGTGTTGTTGATAGTAATAGCTAAAGAATGTATGGTGATTAATGATGTATTAATGGTAGTTGACAGCAAAGCTAGTTGTGATGATGGATATAATTGATAGTAGAGATTGATTTTTTTTCTTTTATATATATATAGTAGTCGACTGATAGTAAATTGATAATGATTGACAACGGTGATTGTGATAGTGGTTGAAGATTGTGTGTTAGATTGATGATGTAATAACAGTAATTCATGGTGGTTTTAATTGTGATGATAAAGGTCATCTATAGAGGTAATTGATCATACTGATGGTAATGTCCGATAGTTATAGTAATAACAACAAAACAATATAGTTATAATGATGAAATTAATAGATACGATTACTATTGATAGAAATATAATTAATAATAATAATTGTGATGACACACATAAAATGGATATTATTTTCATTTTCAAAATGGATCGACATTGAAAGCAAAGGGCTGATCTGATTTGCTTCAAATGAACAGCCCATTAGTGAGGTGGCTAGGATAATAACCACAAGCTAACTTATGTAAATATATATTTTTTAATCTAGTGCTTATCTTTTATAACCACTTTTGAAGAGACACTTGTCAATTTTCTAAAGCATGGGAGACTTATAGCTACTTTTGGTTGTTAGTAAGAGATGTATTTTTTAAAAGTGGCGGAGACAAAATTTTAATTAATTCATCAATTACGATATCTTTGAATGTTTAGTAGATCATGAGTCTTAGTTCTTAGTTTTTAGTATCTCAGCTATCATATATGATTCTGAATTGAAATTCATTGGACTGAACATGTCTTCTCTATAAATCTGTGATAAAAATAAACAAAATCCTTTTATTTTTAATTAAATATTTTATGTTAAAGTCTAATTGAATATGAAAAATTCTGATAAAATACTGACTTTCTCTTAAATAATTATTATACCATAAATTTGAATTAATGAAAATTTCTATACGAATATCAAATATCTCGAATATTTATCAAGTTTAAAAAGAGAAGAAGATATGCTTGTTCAATAAAGAAAAAAAGATAGGTACTTTATGAGGACTTTTTGCTAGTTAAATAGAGGAGTAATTGGTTTGCTTTAAAATAAAGCTTCTTACTACATTCATGTACTTGCAATAAAAAGAAATCAATCATTGTTATTACCATTTGACCTAAACACCTTTATACCCAAAATAACAAATAGAAAGACATTAATACTATGAGATGATAGTCCAATAATTTGGATTTATCTTCTTCTTTTATTCTCTTTGAAGCCTTTTTTTTTTTTTTTAAAAGATAAAAAAATAAATTCAAGTTGTAATGGAATTGTTGGAATAAGGGATTGAATTGATGGCAAGTTCACCAAAGAACCATATGTTAATTGTAGTAATATATAATAATAATAATAATATTATATATGACGATGGCATGATTTTGTCCAATTCAAAAGGTTTGTATTATTCCACACATACTTGGAAAAAGTTTATATTTATTGGATTTGGTTTAATTAAGAAAACATGGATAAACTTTATTAACGGTCACATACACACAAGTATAATGTTTTCCCCGTCAAAATCACATAACTATGTTTTATATTAGACAAATCACAAATATTTCACCAACTAACAAAAAAATCTAACATTTTGATGAATGATGAGATATATTGAAAAACGTTATTAGTGCATAAGAATATTATTAATTAATCTATCGAAAGTAATAATTTTTTCATAACTTCTTTCTAATTCCTTGACCCTTTTAGTTATTTGATTGACTAGAATTATTTATGTTGAATGACAATGATCCCTTACGTTTAAGATAATGTGAATGATTAACAAACTGTGTATAAGCGTTATTCATATATTACGTATGAATGTTGTTTTCAAGTCATTTTCTTTAATAATATATACAATGAATCTATATACGATCGCCAAGAGCATATAAGTTTCATCACATCATTGTGGAATGGGAAAAAAGTGCTTGCATTTGTTCTTTAGACCTTTTTTCCATCTTTTTACAAAAAAACAAAAGAAAAAAGATGTAGTGGAGTTCCAATTTAGCCATGCCAATAACACAAATGATTCTCTCTAGCTATTACTTCATGACATGGTACATTAATTTGGAGAAAATATCAAAACTCTAAAATATCAAAAAAGTCCAAAGTTCTCTATAATTATTGTCCTCATCATACACCTAAATCTTCAACCTTTTAAATTGATGAATATGAGCGGTATATAATTATAAAGGCAGAGTCAGAATTTTAATTAAATGGTTCAAAATCTAAAGAAATAAAATAATTAAACTAGATAAAGTGATTCGACATCTATTATAGCTGACTCCACCTCGGTATACCATTTGTTTGATTAACAATAGAACACGGACCATTTCGTACAAATTAGATTATTCCATTAGGTACCTATCATCTCTCACTAATACGACTATTTGGATAATTTTGTCCACCAAACTAAAGGTTAGACACACGTAGCACAAAATTATATAATCTTTTTTTGTCTTTATATATTGGGTATTTAACTTTAATATCCAATAACTTTCACTCTTATTAGCGTTTGATCACACACAATATCAATATAAGATCATGACACTAATAGAAATAAAAGTTTTTTCATTAAAAATTAATGAGAAATTTGTGTTATAAAACATAATATTTTCACTTATTTCTCACCAAATCAGCTCATTTCTCACCAAATCAGCTCATTAGAAAAATGTATGATGGAAAATAGATTCTCACTAAAATAGTGAGAAACTTTCTAATTTTTCCATATGAAAATATTATTAAGTTTTTTCTTTTCTCACCTATTCAATTAAAATATCCGTGAAAAGAGCCACTGGGCCTGATTCTTGCAAGGAAATTTACTTATTTTGTTTTTGATACTCAAAATTGGAAAAAGCTAGCTAGCCATGGAATGAAAGTTTGTTAAAGTAGCACAAACAACAAAAAGAAAAAGATAAGAACTAAGTACTTCATCCAACCCCTACCCCATACTCATAATAGACATGTTATCCATTGGAGGAATAAATTAATTAAAGTAATATACCTAATCTTCAAGTATAGTTTGCTATACTCATAATACTAGGAAATGTTATTAACATGGTTTGTGGTGCGCGTAATGATGAGATTGCTTCACTCTTAATTAAAAGTCTCGGGTTTGAGCCTTAGATATGAAAAAAAATCCTATATATTGGGAGCGTCACCTTTCAAATGAACCCTGCAGTGCGCAATCCAAATTTAGTCGAGGCTGTAATATGAGCTCTGGACACCAGATGAAAACCAAAAAACTAAAATACTAGGAAATGTCAAGACAAAAACAGCCAATTATCAAACCCCATGTCATGCAACAATTAGCAACAAGACAAAATATCCTCAAGAATAAATTGACCAACTTTCCCCTTTCAAACATTTCAATTAATTCCTCTCACTTCTCAATATTATTATTTTCCTCTTACATAGAATCAAATTCCCCTCCATCAACCCCACTTTATCATACTTTTCTTAGCTTATACAATTTTTATTTTTTTTATAAAACCTTTGTTCTATTCCACAAAAATTCATATAATTTTTTTTAAAAAAATGATTGGTAAAAATAATTCCAATCACCTTCCTCCTGGATTTAGGTTTCATCCAACAGATGAGGAATTAATCATTTATTATCTTCGAAATCAAGCTACATCGAGGCCTTGTCCATCTTCAATCATCCCCGAAGTTGATATCTATAAGTTCGATCCATGGGAATTGCCTGGTTAGTATATATACATATACAATCGCGTTTTAATTCAAATAATTATTTTATGAATTAATATTGATTTTTTTATTTTTTTTTAACGTAGAAAAAGCTGAATTTGGAGAAAAAGAATGGTATTTCTTCACTCCTCGTGATAGAAAATATCCAAATGGTGTTAGGCCAAATAGGGCAGCTGTGTCTGGTTATTGGAAAGCCACAGGCACAGATAAAGCTATATATAGTGGAACAAAATATGTTGGTATTAAAAAAGCTCTCGTGTTTTATAAAGGAAAACCACCTAAAGGTATCAAGACTGATTGGATCATGCATGAATATAGATTGAGTGAATCAAGGACTCAACCAATTACTAGGCCAAATGGATCCATGAGGGTAAGATTCAAATTCTTTGGAACACTATTTTCCGCAGATATTTTGATTGAATATTCAATGAGAAAATAAAAAAATGTTTAGTGAATATTTTAAGTATATTTCAATGTAAATCTGATTCCCACCATACGTTTTTCTCAGTGAGCTGGTTCAGTGGGAATTGAGTAGAAAAATTTGTTCTATAGCAAAAAAATTCCGCTTCTCATAGTGTTTGTCACTAATTCATCGATAAATTACTCATAGCTAATTGATTTTTATGATAAGTTTCTAATTTTGTTTAACTGTAAAATTTGTCTGTCGCTAATTTTTATATTTTTGTCATAGTGTATAGTTTAACTTTTGTAAATTAATCAAATCATTTAAAAAGTAATTATATGTATGATTCATATATACTATATTGAAAAATATGGCATGTAACTTTCTATAGCAAGTTAAGTTAAAACATTATTACGCTAGCGCTGGTTAGTGAATATAAGTTAAATCTTTTCTACTATTCATATTTTTTTTTCATGACTAATACTTACTTTTTTGTTGGTTATTTTTCAGTTGGATGATTGGGTGCTTTGTAGAATTTATAAGAAGAAGAATTTGGGAAGAGCTATAGAGATGATGAAAGTTGAAGAAGACACACAACAACCTCAAATAATGAGTGTTATTAATCCTAGTGAAGTTGTGGCTTCTAATGGACAACAAACAATGAAACTACCAAGGACTTGTTCACTATCTCATTTATTAGAAATGGATTATTTTGGGTCAATTTCACAACTATTTGATGACAATAATTCATACAATACTATAAGCCAAAATAATACATTAATGACCAATGGATATGTTGTGCCTCATCAAGCCATGGAGATATTTCAACTAGGGGAAGTGTCACAAAATAACTCTAATAGCTTCTTGAAACAGCCAATTTTTATGAATCCATCCTTTCAATTTCAGTGAGAAGGCGGTGCACAGCGATTAAATATTTCGACAACAATAATTACTATGCCTCAATCCAAAACAAGTTGATCAGTCGCGGACTACTAGTAATCTCGACAACAATAATTACTATGCCTCAATCCAAAACAAGTTGATCAGTCGCGGACTACTAGTAATCTCGACAACAATAATTACTATGCCTCAATCCAAACAGTGATCAGTCGCGGACTACTAGTATCTCGACAACAATAATTACTATGCCTCAATCCAAAACAAGTTGATCAGTCGCGGACTACTAGTAATCTCGACAACAATAATTACTATGCCTCAATCCAAAACAAGTTGATCAGTCGCGGACTACTAGTATCTCGACAACAATAATTACTATGCCTCAATCCAAAACAAGTTGATCAGTCGCGGACTACTAGTAATCTCGACAACAATAATTACTATGCCTCAATCCAAACAGTGATCAGTCGCGGACTACTAGTATCTCGACAACAATAATTACTATGCCTCAATCCAAACAGTGATCAGTCGCGGACTACTAGTATCTCGACAACAATAATTACTATGCCTCAATCCAAACAGTGATCAGTCGCGGACTACTAGTATCTCGACAACAATAATTACTATGCCTCAATCCAAAACAAGTTGATCAGTCGCGGACTACTAGTATCTCATCAACAATTGTAACATATATATGTAATTTAAAGGTCATGGTACTATAGAGGAAAAAAAGATAGTTGTATTAATACAGAATTTTATTTTCTAGCACTTGTTTGACAAATAATTAATTTGGTTCTGAAATTGTAATACTAATATTTTACAAAGGTCTTCCTTTCATTTCTATATTTAGCAAAGAAATTGTCAATTTAGTGGGTGGAGAAGCTTGACTTTACTCTCTAAGTTAACCTTATTCTTCACTTTTTCCTGTACTTGATTTTTCTTTAAAAAATTATAATTTATAATTGGTAAAATTGGAAATTATTCGTTAGACTACCTAATCCGTGTTGAAATAATTAACATTATCGAACTAATAGAGATAAGTGAAAAGTGAGATTTGCTCAAGCAGTTGAACACTAGATTAATTCACATTACACTGAAAAATAAGTAAAAACATTATTAATCCTAAGATTGGAAAAAAAAAACTAATAGAGATAAGCCTTAATTTGTTTGGATAAACTCCACATAGAAGAGAAATAATGATGTCTCAAACATAATAATGATTACAATAATAACGATATATTAATTATTAATTAATTTATAAATGACAGTAAATCCTCAATCTCTTGTCATATATTATGTCTCAATATATTTGATACTCTTTGAATTTCCAGTGTTAAATTATTCTAGTTTGACCTATATAATAGAAATAATGTATTTTATAAAAATAAAATTTATATATATATTAAAAAATTTAAAAATATTATAAATCAAATCATTAATAATTAAAAATATATTAAAAATTATATAAACATATTTTTTGGTATTTAAAATTCAAACGGCATCACATAAATAAGATCATTTCTTTCTTAGATAATGCAAGAAACTTTGTCTTTTCTTTCCACCACAAAAAAACAAAAGGAAAAGAATATAAATCTAGTCTAACCATCAATGTATTAGGACAAAAAAATAAAAGAGACAAGGATTTAAACTTCAACCATAGAAAATATTTATGGTAATCGCCACTTGTCGATACAAAAACAATTTGCAAGTAAAATAATAGAAACGCACCATCCTTATCACAATACAAAAATTATGGATGACAAGAGCATAAATATGAAAGGTGATTGGGAAAATTAAAGGTGGACGTTTATAATTGACAAAAAAAATGAAGGTGATGGCCATGATGAGTGGCTAAAGGAGTGTGGTCTATGCATGGCTTATCAAAAAGATTAATAAATGAGTATATCTTCATCTATATGACGTTGATATTTTTGGAGTATTCTTTACTATGATATACTCTCTTCGTTGCTATTTATATCTCGTCCTTACTAAAAATAAATGATCATTAATATTTCATAATTCATCTTTACTTGTTCACTATACTAAAAATAGTTATCCAATAATATTTTTTTGTTTTAGAAAATTAAGAGATAATTTATCCCGATCTGTCTATTTTATCCTTGCTATTAAATACTATTTAATACCTAATACAATTCTCAAAGCATTAAATTTAAAATATTCAAAGAATAATGTAGTAATAGTACTCTATTATTTATTGTTTCTTAAGATGTGTGTTAAGTCTTCATGCTTGTTGTTATATGTAGTAGACATGTGGTTATGGGTATACATTGTTGTTTCAAGTCATGCTATATTATGTATTGTTAATTCTATGTTACTATTTGATGGTGAATTGTTTATATGTATAAATTGGACTGGCCGCGTGATTCTACCAGTATACTATAATTTATATACTGATACTACACTTGTTCGTTTCAGTTTGTTGAGTGCAGCGAATTATTTTAGCGGCTGATCCGAGACCTCAATTGAGAGATATCTGATTCGACTCCAAGGGTGAGCTTCCTCTTTCAGGCTTCCAGGGATTCCTCTATATTTTTTTGTCCATTGTTCGGACACAGACTTTTGAGTTATAATTATGTTTAGTTTCGGGGTTACATCCCCACTTGAATTTATTTTAGAATTTGGTATGGTGACTTTCAGTTCTTAGGGGTATTTTCTGCATTGGTGTTTAGACGTCTGTGTTGAGTTTATAGGGACTCAGTTCTATTATGTCTAAATTGCTTTTCCTATTTTATATATATTAGACTTGGTTAATTAAACGGTGTTGGGTTGGTTTTTCGAGTTAGCTGATTCTCCCACCGGATTGCTTAGTGTGGGTGCCACTCATGACGCTCTAGGTCATGACTCCTGCTGCACAACTTTGCATGCCAAATCTACTTAGCACCACATCAATATAAGTATTTTGAGACAATCCAAGCATGTTTTTGGTACGATCTCGATGGATCTCTATACCCAAAACAAATAACGTTTTATCAAGATTTTTCATTTCAAATTTATTGGATAGAATTTCTCGATTTCATGCAATAAACCTATATTAGTGGTTGCCAATAGAATGTAATCTACATATAGCATAAGAATAATAAATTTGCTCCCACTAAACTTGAGATATATACATTGATCAATAATGTTTTCCATAAAATCAAAGAGGTTATCACCTGATCAAACATTTGGTACCATTGACATGATGTTTGTTTTAAACCATATATGAACTTCTTAAGTTTACATACAATGTGTTTTAATTTTGAGACTCAAAGGTTTCCAGTTGCAATATGTATATTGTTTCTTCATTGTCTCCATTGAGAAATACAGTCGTTACGTTCATTTGATGTAGCTCTAAGTCATAATGAGCTACAAGTATCATAATGATACTAAAAGAATCTTTCGATGAAATTGGCAAAAATTTCTCCTTAAAAACTATGCCTTCCTTTTGAGTGATAGCAACTAGATGTGTTTTATATCTTTCGATGTTACCTTTTGAATCACGTTCGGTTTTAAAAATCTATTTACATCAATCAGTTTCGTTATTATGGTAACTCGACCAGATCCCAAACGTCATTATCTTTCATTGATTTCATCTCATTTTTCATGGCTTCGATTCATTTAGCAAAGTTTTGACATAATTTTACTTGGCTAACAATTATAGGATTATCTTCTAATCCCATGTCAAAATCATGTTTTTGGAGATAAACAACATAGCCTACGGGTATTGGTTACTGCTTTACTTGGAACTCTGTTTAATATATAAACGGTAGTTTTTAGTGCTTCTCTCCAAAGTGATTCAAGTAAATAAGAATGACTAATCATACTTATTATCATACCCTTTAGAGTTCGATTTTATCTCTCTCATACACCATTTTGACGTGAAATTCCTAACATGGTGTATTGAGGTACAATCCCGCACTCTGTTAAATATTTTGCAAAAAGTCCTGAACGTTGTTCACTTGATCCATCATATTTGTCGTAGTATTCTCCTCCACGGTCAAATTTGACAACCTTAATTTTCTTTCCTAATTGAGTCTTACTTCTTAGTGACCTGACTATGTTATTATTAAGTACATAGCTATGTGATGAAAAAAATTGATATCTTACTACCTCTATTAGGTTTTACTTAAACATTTTAATGTAACATAGCTATGTCCTTATTGAGTACATTGCGTGAGTAGCACTGCATGTATATTTTCAGGCATTAATGGGTGCAAAATGTGTGTATTGATCTGGTTCGAGTTATTCTTAATTTTGTTAGGGAAAGTTTGAATACCCCACTTGCTATAGTTTATCTGAAATGTGTGTACATCTGATACGTTGTTTGTTCTCATGTTGCTTTTGAATTGTTCTTGTGATATATATCCGGTTTGTTTTAGTATGATACTTATTGTGACTTGTCTGCAAAGTTCTTTAAAGTATTACATTGAAAGTTTCAAAAAAGAAGTTTTGTAATACTTGCAATATGCCATCTTCTGATTCGGATGTACTGAGACCAGGTATAATTATGTTATATCTGCGTGGGTAGTCCTCCCAAGAAATGTATGTTTTACGATATCACATCATTCTGGGAAGTACTAGGATCCATGTTCAATCAGAAAATAAGATCAATCATAGGCACCGGAAGAAAATTACACCAGTTGAAAAGCTCTGCTAGAGAACTTATGAAAGAGCGGACAAATTAATTGTTGTTGTGGACTAATACATATATTATATTGGTGGATAACCACTCTGTTTCTTTTCTCTCTTGCTCAAAGTGAAATTCGTTTTGACTGGACATCTGTTTTTCCTCAAATTTCATGATGCTTCTATCTCTTCATCATTTAAGGTATTTGTTAGTATACTTAAAACCACTCCATTTTGGGGACTTTAAGCTACATGATACATAATTATAAGTATTTTTAAAATTACTTTTGAGATGAAAAGTTTTTTTCTTTTTAATGAAAAAATTTACTTTATCTTTAAATAACACTCCATCCGTTTTAATCTTTGTTTGATTTTGATTTGACGTGAAATTAAAAAAATAAAAAAGATTTTTTAATCTTATGGTCTTAAACTAAATTAGATATATATATATCAAAATATATTTTAATCTTGTAGTCTTAAACATGTCATGTGTAAAGTTAAATTTAAAAATTGATTGAAAAGAAAGAAATATTCTTTAATATTTCGAAACAAACTAAAACAAAGTAAGACAAATAAATTGAAAGACACTTTATTATTATTATAGAAAAAAAAAAACTTAAAATGATTGTATTTTTAGTGAAAAATGAGGTCCCTCAAACTTTTGAGGCCTAAGGCGAATACATTATTTTTAAAGACATTGAATCGCCCCTGCTTTTGGGAAGAAGAGTTGGTGTATTGGATTTAGTTAATGATTCTAAACTTGTTTTGAAAATTTGATTACATTTGGATTTTACCATCAAAATGTGAAATTCAGAGTGGGAAATTATGGTTTTGGTTGAGAAAAAACTCAAAATAGTCCCATATCAAAATCATCTTTGTGTTTTTACATGGAGCATTAATAGTTCCTCATGTTTGCAATATTAATACATTTTTGGTCTTTTCCCAAACTTTTGCCTATTTTTTAACATTAATTTTGTTCACAATTTTATGTATGGAATGTTCAATAGTTTTTTTTTATATATTTAGTAGAAATAATAACTCTATGAGAGAGAAGTGAGAAGGACACTTTATTTTATTCAATAGAAATATTATTGCAGTTAAACTAAGAACTTACCTTTGCTTGTTGAACCATATCAATTTTGTTGACATATGACGTTGCAAGAAAATAATTTTTTTATACTATTGTACGTGAAATCGACGTGATCAGGGGTGGAGCTATCCTAGGGCAAGGGGTGTCAAGCGACATCCCTTCATCGGAAAATTACATTGTATATATAGGTCAAAATTTGATTTAATGAATATATATATACAAGTGTTGACACTTATTGACATAAGTTGAAGGTTTAGTGTAGTGGTTAAGTGGTTGCAAAAGTTGTTTGAGGTTTGTATTTTCATCACTGAACGTGATGAACCTCTCGATTTTAATTTTTAAAAGACAAGTTTGATGGCGGACCAAAAGTTATGAAACTGCCGTCAATTTTTTTAAAATCAAGAGGTTCATCACATTAATTTCACGCGCAATAGTACACAATTTTCTTTTCTTGCAACGTCATATGTTAACAATAACTTGATATAGTTCAACAAGCAAAGAGAAGTTCTTAGTTTAGCTCCAATAATATTTCTATTGAACAGAATAAGGTGTTCTCTTCTCACCTTCTGTCACATGCGGTTATTATTTCTTCTTAATATATAACAAGATGATTGAGCATTCCATACATAAAATTTTGGACAATATCAATGTTAAAAAATAGGTAACTTGAATCTTTAACCCAAACAACAACAACAACATACCCAGTGAAATCCCACTAGGTGGGGTCTGGGGAGGGTAAAGTGTACGCAGACCTTACCACTACCTCGTGGAGGTAGAGAGGCTGTTTCCGGAAGACCCTCAGCTCAAGTGTAACAAAGCCAAGTAAAGGAAGAGAATTATATAAAGCATAACATCCAATAAGAAAATAGTGCATAATCAACAAAGGGGGCAATAACATCAAAGAAAATAATGACGAGAAGTGAAACGCAAGTAAACAACATAAGGCAAGTAGGGATCACATACAAGAACTACAAGTGTACGGCTAAGACTCCTACAAACGCTAACAACCCATACCCTCGCCAGGAAGACAGCACGCTAACCCTACTAGCCTTCAACCTTAATACGTGACCTCCACTCCTTCCTATCTAGAGTCATGTCCTCGGTAATGTGTAGCTGGGCCAAGTCCTGTCTAATCACCTCTCCCCAATACTTCTTGGGCCTACCTCTACCCCTCCGCGTACCCTCTAACCCAAAGATAAAGGAAATATATTGAGCTTTTTCTCATTTTGAGGCTTAAACTTCCAATTGATGAGTAAATTGAGGAATTGAATCATTTTTTGAACTCCAATTTGAAAACTAACAGACACAATATATATTGATATAAGTAAAAGGCACTGTCTGGCAGTGAATTGCATACAAAATCCAAAGCATGAAACTTTAGTCAAATATCAAACACAACAGATACACAAACTATATATAAAAGGCTAGCAAGCCAATGTATAAACAGCATCAGTCAATTATCAAACACAACAGATACACAAACTATATATAAAAGGCTAACAAGCCAATGTATAAACTGCATTGATTTATCGCCTAGATATCGCGACAGCTGAGAAAATGATTAGGAGAACAAGACACACCATCGCGCCAAATGAGCCGATGAGAGAGCCAGCAGATCGTTGGCAGAAATCGGTATACTGTTGACAAACTGAAAACCAGTTTGCAGAAGTGTTCCCAGTATGTGCTAAATACACAATGGCAGCTGCTGCAGATGCTCCAGATGTGAGAAGAACCAGCATTATCTTCAAAATTTAACAAGAAAATTATGAATTAGGGACAAAAATGATCTAATTTTCATGATAATTATAATAATACACTTTTTCAAGGCCTAATCAAGTAATCAACCACAAGTTATAGTGAAACAGTACAGTCAGACTTCTCTATAACAATATTTTTATGTAACAACCAATTTTGTGTGAAACTAATAAGTTCAGTTATCACATTATTTTGATGTTGTTGTTGTTCCTTTTTCTGAATCTTATGTAATGATTTCATTATTATCTGTTATGTATGTTTTGCATTTGTATGTTATTTTTAACATTGCTTTGTTACAAGTTCCTTGAGCTAAGCATCTTTTAGAATCAATCTCTCTATCTCCACGAGATAGGGTTAGTCTGTATACACCTTACCCTATCGATTACATTGGGTATGTTATTATGTTATAGTGTATGTTCTCCATAATAACATTTCACTATAGCAGTCAAAAAATATCCTGACAAACAACGTTGTTATAAAGAGGTTTGACTGTATAAAGAAGAACTCAATCTACATTACCGCGTCAAGGAAGATGAGCAAGATCCGACTTTTTCCTGCTCTGCTCCTCATAATATGAAAGATGGAAAATGGTAGAGAAAGAGCAAGATATGCACATACTATTGCATTCACAATCACGAACAACCTATGTCAAGAAAACAAAAGGATGAATAAACCTTCATGAAATTGTACTTTCTCACATTCATAGTAGATATACTCCCTCCGTTTTAATTATATGACGTATTCTGACCTGACACAGAGTTTAAGAAAGAAAAGACTTTTGAAATTTGTAGTTTTGAGACTGTATCATTAAAAATAAAGAAATGTGTAGTTCTATAGATGGACTTACTTAAATGAGTCAAAATCATCATATTGAGCTGAAAATTGCACAAGTTGTGTGGCAAAAGGAAGAGTTTGTTCAGCAGTTCCCATTGCCACAGCTCCTGCTAAGGTACCAACAATCGCGACGATACGAAGAACAAGATCAAATACAGAGAGTCCTCTGTTCACTCCATGACCTATAGCCTTTGATGCTTCTCCAGATTCAATCGATACCGCCTTCATCATTCGTTTTCGATGGCTCAAGTTTCTCTCTTCACTGAAATTTTTCTATATGATTTGTATCTCAGCTTGTTATGAGTGTTTTAGATTTATCACCAATTTATATTATCAATACTAAGGCATGTTTGGATTTTTATTTTTTTAGTAATTTTCAGCAATAGGAAGTGGTTGATGTGGATTTGCTGATATGAACTCAGCTTTGTAGACTTTATACCTGCTCTACTTTCTTCTTAGTACTTAAACAACATTCTTTGGAGAAACGATTTTAAGTTATATACGCTGACAATGCAATAATTTTGACGTTATTAATGTAATTTAACATGTTATAACAAGTTAATACAACATCATTTGAATTAGGTTATCAAGGATGAGCGATGTGTCAGTTTTAGTTAATTCGAAAATTAAGTGGCCCTTTTTGCATTTTTGCGAGAAAAAATGGCCTTTTTGGCTCCGAACTTGAGTAGTTTTGGTTGATTTTGGATTAGGTACGAGATGTGTTTGCTCTTTAAAATACAAGAAATTCATTGATTTATAATTTTAGGCTGACCATTTGATTAATAATGTGAAGTCAGCCAAAAAAAAAAAGAGACTAATGGAGTAGGTCAAAATTAGAGGGCTTACTAATTGAATCCTCTTTTTCTTTTTCCTTCTTAATTATATATCACTTCAAATCATGTTTAGAAAAGCAAGCAATATGAAGGTTATAGTCAATGGCAAATTCAGGATTTTACAGCTATGTGTGCTCACTATTTTTAACATAAACTTGTATCAACCAAAGAACGTAATTGCAAGCTAAAATTCCTCGAGAAAAATGGGAACACTATTTTTTTCAATTCAATGCAATAGCCAATAGGAGTTTTTTGGATTGGTTCAAGAAAAAAAATCTATACCTTCTCTTTTTTTTACCCCTCCCTAAGAAGCTCCCACCTCTTTATCCTCTAGGTCGAGCTCAAAACCTTAAGGTCGGAAGTAAGAGGTGTTCACCATCCGAGAAACATTCATTAACAATCAAGTACTCAAAGAACCAGGTTCTTTGAGCAATTATGCAAAAACGTTTTCAGGTTGCATCCCCATAAGATAAGATTGAATACAAATAGACAAGTACATTTTGTAACTAAACAAATTGAGGATTAAGGATCAGTAAGAACATGTTGTAAAGCTCTTGAGGTCCAAAACAAGTTGTTGAAGATGTATTATTTTTTTATGGCCATGATGTCCAGGCCAACTTTCGCGCATCTCAACTGATTCCACGGGATACGTGCCACCTCCCACCAGCAACAGCAACAGGTACCAGATAATTGTCCAACAAGGCTAGGACAGATCTTGAACCTGAGACCTCAAGATTCTCAACCACTTCATTGACCACTAGGTCGCACCCTTGGTTGCGTTTTTGAAGATATTGTTAGTTACAAGAATTTTCTTATTAGCTTCTTTTTCTTTAAAATTTTGAACAGAAGTAAAATTGTGCAACACTACTAAGGTTCTAACTTCTAAGATTCATTTCAGAAATTGGGACCAATCAACAATCATTATATCCCCTTTCTATATTCAGTTTAATAAACCCCATTGCTTCATGGCCATTCAAAACTCAGAAAATTTGAAATAGTTAGCATTTACATACTCTGGGGGGTGAACAGAACATCCACTTGATAGTCTATACATTGTCGTCTTCACTGTAATCATCGTCGTAATCAGAGGCTGATTCATCATTTCTGGGCTCCAGTAGAGTATTCATATCGAAGGATGATTCACCTACTTCCATTTCTTCCATGTCAATAATGTCGTAACTCATCCGCTGATCAAATTTCTCATCAGAACAATTAAGAAGCCATGCCAGGGAACATTTTAAGCCCTTCTCAGCGATCTTTTTATGTCTTGGTTTTATTGTGGACTCCAGACCATAAGTGAAGAAAGCAGGGAAAGCAACCAAATCTTCCAAAGGCCTTGCCATTGTGGTTTTGAAATACTCAAAACTCTGCTTCATAATGTCGAGATTTAGAGCAAGTACCTGGGGACATCCCACGACCATTTCTCTCACTTGTTCCGAGGAAAAACCACATCCCTTGAGGAAATCAACATGCTTCACTACAGGTGCTTTACTGAGACTGATAATCTGTGGCATCTTTTCAATAACTCGCCCAAAATCTTCACGAGTAGATTCAATTATTGAATTGAGAAATTCTTGTTGACTTGGAAGCTTTGCCTCCATGTCGATTCCTAAGATCTCAGGATATTGTGCAATTACTGAAGGAAGTGTGGTTTCCCTCACATGAAACTGTAAAAGGGATTGAATGTTTGGTTTTACCCTTTCTTGTAGTCCAAACCCAAGAATGTGAGGATGCTTCTCAATCAATCTAGCCACAGCTAGCCTCGGAATTCCCAGGACTTCCAAATATTCTACAAATGGTTTAATTACCCGACCTACCCGCATCCCTAATATCTCAGGATATCTAGTCAGAAGCCCACCAATTTCTCTTCTTGCCACTCCAATTCCTACTAAATAAGCAACTGATGTACTCATTGTGCCCTCAAGCTTGAACCCCAACACTTCAGGATATTTCTCCAGTACTCGCGGAATATCATTTGGTTTAATATCCATGCCTTGAAGATATTTCACAACTGGAGCAAGGTCTACCACCACACTTGCATGTAGAACTTGTGGGTACCGCCGCAAAAAGTCTGTCAAGGTGGATTTTCTAACACCCAGTTTGCCCAGATAATCAAGCACAGGAATCATGTTTTTCTTCACACTGCAGCCCAGAACAAGAGGATAGTTGTTAATATCTTCAATTGTGAGTCCCAATTTGTGAAGAAAGTCCACACGTTCTCTCATGACCTCCACAGTCACAGGAAGCTCTAATCCATCGAGCTCATCAGGTACAATGCCAATGCCTCTCAAGAATTCATAAACACGTACACGGTTGGCTGCCTTCTCATTCTTCATCTCTAATAAACTAGGATGAGTGTAGAAAGATGAGCTCTTTTGTTTCTTACTTCCACTGTAAGTGTCTGTCTTCACTGAAGATGAAAGAGCAGCTCTCGTAGTAAAGCAGCACGGTAATCTCATCATCAAGTCCTTTTTCTTCATATTGAAACTTGAAATACTTGGAGCTGAAGTGGATATTAACCGGGGTCGATGGAACGTGTTGGAAGGCAACTCATGATTTATGAGCAAAAAACTGGGATTAATGATGCGGTTATAACTAATGACTTTCATATTCTGAAGATGAAAACCTGCACCAGACAAAGATGCAATTGTCAAAAAATAAGCCTTCACACTTGCAATGTCATTAAGAAATAAGTTGAACAGTACTATAATTCTTTTTCTCCTGTTTCTAGTAACTAATGAGTTAAGGTCGACTTAGAAATTACTCTCACACACATGGAGACCTTTCACTTGTACAGTAATGTTGCAGAGTAAGAGACCAAGGCTTCCACAAGGAAAGTTAAATTAGAATGTAGGCAATATTAAACCTTTGGATCTAGCAAATGAGGGTGAAATGATCGAAGTATGCAACTTGTGCTTTTAACCACAAAAAAGAACCAAGTTGTAATGTTAAGCTTTTAAATGATTCAATCAATAAAGAAAATCTAATGCGTTAGACTGAGAAAGTATGGCAACCCTCTCATGTTTTGAGGGCTCCAAGACCTGTAATAATAATCACCACAGAGTCTCTGGATGTAAAATTATGAACCCTCCAGGCTCCATTGAGAGCGATTTTTAGGTAATGAGATAGCAATAACCAGTCTCTACGTAATTCAACAATCCAAGCACCCATGAGAAACTATTCCCAAGTGTTTTTTTCCCTTCCACTACACCCATCCGGCCACCCCACCATCACCTTCCCAAAATAAGTTCTTATCGTCTGCAACATCTTCCATAAGTTCATGCATGTGTTAGTTCAGGAATTATATGCTTTGAAGTGGGAAATGGGAAAAATTAAAGTTCTGGCAGGATAGTTGGTGTTGGAGCAGCCCTCTCAGAGAAGAATTTCCTCTTATTTTCCGGTTTAACCAATCACCAGAGGCAGTGGTAGCAAAAATGAGGGGAAACAGTGGCTGGAATATTAGATTGAGAAGGAATTGCTTTAAATGGGAAATTGATCAGATATTGGACCTGTTAAATAGACTGGAGTAGATAAACATTAACCATTAAAAGGAGGACCGGGTAAGATGGGATCACACAAAGGGAGAATTCACAGTGAGAGATTTGTATCAAGTGCTCGTGAGAGGTGAGTCAGGTGACAATATAATTGATAACTGGCCTTGGAAAATCATTTGGAGAACAAACACCCAATACAGGTAACCAGTTCACATGGATTCAGACTTATGAGGCTTGTCTTAAACAGGACAATCTAATGAGGTGAAATTTCAAATATGCAGTGCATATTACCTCTCTCAGTATGAATATGAAAGAGCAAACACCTTTTCAGCATTGCAATGTAACAAAGTAAGTGTGGATTACGTTCCTGAACCTTTTGGCTTGCGTGTAGTCATACCTAATGATATAAACGAAGTCTTAGAAGTCAGACTTTGGAAAGTTCAGAAGGAAAAGACGAAGCCGTAGCAGTCCATTCGCAGCTTTACTTTTTGAACAATTTGAAGAAAAAGGAATATGAGATTTTTGAAGGATAAACAACCTCAGTCCTCCCTTTGAAAGCTAGACGTCTTTTCAATCGACACAATTGGGAAAAGTATTCGGATGTAAATAATGTGAATCACCTCAGGATTTTTTAAATTCCTCACTTTTATTAGGAGCCAATTATGAATTATACAGTTTGTATCCTATGAATGATTAGCAATAAATGTCTTACTTTATCAAAATGTTTCGGAATTACTGAGGACATGACCTTAGATAGGCAGCTAGTGAAGGACACAGATTCGGGTAGAGGGTTAGTAGGTAATAGAGTGTTGTCTAGCTTATCCCTCCTTACTAGTAGTTGTAGTATTTCTTTTTAGTTTCTTGTCTTTTGTTACTGACTACAATCTCTTGTACTTCGAATATCACACTATTTTGTTGTAGTTATTATTCTTTTTTTCAGGATGTTTTGTCATGCTCTTTTAGTGTCT